GAAGGAAGGAAGGAAAAGAGAAGGAAGCAGCTGATGAGGAGTGGGTGGAAAGAAGGAAGGAAGGTGAAGTAGATATTCAGAGAAAGTCAACTGTGCAGAGACACCAGGGAAGCTAAAAGAGAGCCTTCAGGCATTTTTGGACGTCTGGGAAAGACTCGCATCAGAAGGGAGAGGGTTCCCACTGGAGTGACCACCAGGGACCACCAGGGACCCCAAACACTGGCCAGCCTCCAAAGGACAGTGCAGCCCCTTGGTAGCCAAGGAGCCCAGAGCAGGCTCAGCAGGTTAGTTCCCCGGTGTGTGTGCCCCCCCCCGATTGGCATGAAGGCTGTGCCCGCAGAGGGGCAGGCGTGGCCAGTTCAGCGTCCCTGCTGGGAGCAGAAGCCACACAGAGGTTATTTGCCATATAAAACACCTTCCTATGCCCTTTGTGGATGTCGCGTCATCAGTTTATTGGGAGCCGTGAGCACAGGGAGGGAAAGAGAAGAAGAAAAAATAAACACCAGTGACGCCCTGGATTTCCAAGCCTGCCATTCTAAGAGCTGCTTTTAAAAAAAAATCCAGGTGAGAACACGCCGACCTGGTCAGAGAAGCAGTTTGCGCCACTCAGCGTGTATGTGCGTGCGCATGCACCCCCCCACACCCTCTCTCTCTGCAAGGTCTGGGTGGCATTTGCTTCCCCTTCCTCTCCACCACGTCTAGCGTAGCGAGGCTAAGCTGTAGAGACGCTCTCTTGCCTTCTGTGGCTGCCCATCTAGGAGTGGTTGTTCAAAAGACCACCATTCTCAGCCGAGCCAGGAGGGGTGGCCTGGCGTGGTTCCTACCACGAGAGGCTGTTGACCCACTTCCTTTGGCTACGTTGCATCCCTGTCCGCCGGGGACGTCTGACAACTTAGGAGGGTGTATGCCTACATCCGGACGAGGAAGTGGTGGTTGCGGCTGGCCCAAAACCTGCAGGTGGCCCCCGAGGGCTGGGGGGGAATGGCCGCTCGCCCAGGGCTCAGGAAGGGTTTGCCGCAGCAGCGAGGCTGAGAAGGCCCTCCCCTCTGGCCGTGGGCGGCCGGGCGCTCACCGGAGCAGCTTGTTCTTGATGTCCCAGACCTTCACAGAGCCATCCCTGCTGGCTGAGGCGAAGAGTGTCAGGTTGGGGCAGCAGCAGAGTCCTGCCAAAGGAAAAGGAAGGGTGTGGGGCTGAAGCCCTGAGGGACCAACCCCGGGCCCCTCCTGGCCTCCCTCCCTCTTGCAGCAGGTCCTCAGGGGCCGGCGATGCTCCTGCCGCCCGCAGCCAGGGAGGGCCCCTCCACACCTGTGATCTCGTCCTCGGCGTCGTCCTCCGGCTTATGCTCATAGCAGGTCTGCTCCATCAGGCTGTAGTAAACGATGCGGTGGGTGATGGTCTCAGGGTCTTGGAAAGCCACTGCCAGGGTTTCACCCAGGGAGCACATGTGTGTGGCCGGGGAGTTGCAGGAGAAGCACAAGAGGGGGACCAGGCACTCCTCCGCGTAGGGGAAGAGGCGCCACATCTTCACCGTGAGATCAGCACCTGTCCGGAGGCAAAGATGGGCCTGGAATCAGCACAAGGAACACCCAAAGGGGTGTTGGGGGGACGGGGAGAGATCCCACCTGCTAGTTTGATTTCCCATTTTGAAAGTGGCCTCTCACCACCGTTTTTATTTGGTCCTGTGTGGAAAAAAAAACAGGCCTTTTCTGGAGGTGGAGGGATTTGAATTGATGTTTTTTGGGGGGGGGCTCCAGAAACCGGGACACCAAGTGCTGACCTGCCAGGGGAGGGGAAAGGAGAGCCAGAGAAGCCGCGAGAGGAGAGGAGCCATTGGACTCAAAGAACGCCCAGAGCACCAGGATCAAACCGAGTGGGTTTGGACTCTTAGCACAGGGAGACCGAGATGCCCACTTGGGACTAAAAAGCAGCCGCTGGAGGGCACGGCTTGTCCAGAAGGAACCAGGAGGAGAGGAGCCGCTGCAGGACCACACGTGACTGAGGCAAGGAGCTCCACGCCTCCTCAGGGTGTGGGCGGCCACGGAGCAAAACGAGGACGGAAGACCTCAAGAGGAAGGGAGACCGCAGTGACGGGCTCACTGTGGGGAGGGGGGGCTGTGGCAGAGTCCATGGAACACCTGGGCGAGGCCCTCCGGGATCCCACGACTAAAAGCCTCCAAAGAAGAGAGGCCCAGGCGTCCGTGGGAGAACTCAGCCGTCCTGATATCTCTCGGAGGCCCAACTCTTCCAGCCCTAGCAAACCCCGCAAACCACTCGCTTGCCTCGCTTGCCACCTCGTCGTCATTGTGTAAGGAAGCGGAAGGAGCAGAACGGGGATGGGATGCCCTGGCCGTGGCCCTATTTCAGGAGGAAGAACCGATCCACCACGATTTAGAAATAGAGTAGTGGGCCTTTCATGTGCGACCTCCTGAGACGGGTCAAAAGGGCACGCTAGCCCAGGGCGCTGGGCCCTCGAAAGCACTGGTTTCCATCCACTTCAGGAAAGAGTGAGTGAGATTCCAGGGCCAGAATTGCTCAGAGAGAAGGAGCCTGTGATGGACGGACGGACTGACGGACGGGAGTCCCTGAACAAGAAAGCCCTGAAAGCAGCCTTGTGAGAAAGGACCGTGGTGGACAACGAGAGAAACTGGGAGGGGCTCTCAGGTGAGCTAAGATTTAAAAGGGGAACAGCCAATATAGAAACCGAACAGACGATGTCACAGAAGGTCACAAGTCAATGGAGAGGTTGTGTTCCGAGAGGCCAAAACAAGGCCAGGAACAGATATTCCCTGTTTCCCCAGCTGCCCTTTGGCCTTGAGAGACCAACAGACATGCTTTCCAAGCTTACCAGCTGAAATGACACATGTCTGAGCAGGGTATTCGGCCAACGCTGTGACGCGTCCCGATCCGTGAGCCTCCACTTCGTACTGGGTTCGGCCCGAAAACCATTCCACCACACTGAGGAACCCATTCGTGTGCCCCAGGACAGGCAGGTACCTGGCAGGGAGAGACACTTGTGTGAGAAGGGACAGGATTGAGTTCACATAGCGCATGGCAGAAGAGCAGCTTTGGGAGTGGGTTGCCCAGTAGAGAAACAGCCGTTGGGAGGTGGGTTCAGGCAGGAAAACGAGTCAAAGATTTCCTTATCGCAAGGCAATCCTGAATCAGTGGCGATCTGAGCCTCAAGAAGGCATGCCTGCCCAGAAGCGAGGCAAGGGGGGGTGAGAGCCACCGTACAGAGAAGGAGGTGCGCTCCCAAACCCCCACTTTTACCTGTTTTTCTCCTGCCTTTGGAGTGGGGGCCTCTGCCACTGCTTCCGGTAGCTTTTGTTCTCTGCCACTTCACACCACGTGGCGTAGGCGGCCTCAGGGTCCACCACGTGGCTGTAGAGCAGGAGGCAGCAGGGCTTGGACTCCTGAGAGCAGCTGGGGGTGCTCTTCTTCAGCACCATGGGGTCAGCCGCCGCGTTGATGCGAAGCAAGCTGCCCGGCTCCGTCAGCACAAAGAGCGTCTCTCGAGGCAGGCAGTAAGCCGCCTCCTGGACCTGGGAGGGCTGGTCCAAGGAGAACGTGGAGAGGATCAGGCCGCTCTGGGCCTCCACCAGCCGCACCGTGGAGTCCTGGCCCACGCACAGGAGCCGGACGGGGAAGTTGCCCAGGGCCTCCAGGTTGGAGCAGCTGAGCCGCTTGACGGGAGACCCCACGGGGCTGTAGAGTGAGTAGAGCTTGTTGATCTTCCAGAGGTTCAGGGATGAGCCCGAAGTGGAGATGACGTGGGAGGCCGTTTTTGTCTCCAGAGTCTCCACGGGCTCCAGGACGTGGACTTGGTCTACCTGGTCGATGGTGTCGAGGTTCCAAGTACGGATCGTTCCGTCTTGAGAAGCAGAGAAGACGAGGGGTCTGTCGGGGTAGATGGTCACAGCAATGACGGGAGCTGGTGGAGCAAGATAGGACAGTGCCACCAGGTGAAGAACGGGTGGGAGGAGGCCCATGGAGACAGGACGCAGCCACCATGATCCAAAGGGAGGAGCGCGTGCGGGAGCCTAGGTTCCCCACCCCCACCCCATCGTTTGTGTCTTCATGGAGGCTCTCTGGCCATCCTTGAGGTTGCTTGACCTCCTTACTGCTCTGCACACATAAACACTTCATGATGTGACACCATTTTTTTTGGGGGGGGCTACTGTTATTGATTCATGCTTTCAAGCCAGAACCGACTTCCAGCAACCTTAGCAGGGCTTTCAAGGTAAGTGAGTGTGAAGAACATAAGGATTTCAGGGACATGAAAAATGAAATTGATCTCCTGGACTTTTCTGTGTGCCTGTGAAGGGCACGGGGATGTGAACTTTCACCTCTGGAGTGATAGCTTCTTCTCATCTCTTCCCAATCTCCTGTCTATGTATTCCTATCCTGAGTCACTTCAAAGAAGGACTAAGATCAAGAGGACGTCAAAGCCTAAAACTCCGAAATCTTTATATTTACATATCAAAGCAGGCACCAACCGTTTATATCTGCAAGTAGGAACTCATTTGCTTCTTCGCCCAAGGGTTATACTGATTTCAAAACACATAAGAATGATCAAAGAGTATTAAGAGTAAGTATGTGATTGTTGGCCTCAGGTATTAATGAACCATTCATTTGTATAAAAGGGGAATTGAGAATCTGAGATTTGTGGAAATTAGCATTCCTTTCCCCTTCATGGATTGCTGCCTTTTCATGGCGAAGGGGCTGGAGTAATTCAGAGAAGCTATGGGCTATGCCATGCAGGGATACCCAAGATGGACAGGTCCTAGTGGAACTAGCAAGTCACTCCAGTATCTCTGCCAAGAAAACCCCATGAACAGAAACAAAAGGTTAAAAGACATGACGCTGGAAGATGGGACCCTCAGGTCAGAAGGCATCCAACATGCTACTGAGAAAGAGCAGAAGACAAGTACAAGTAACTCCAGAGCTAATGAAGTGGTTGGGCCAAAGCCGAAAGGATGCTCAGCTGCGGACGTGCTTGGAAGCAAAAGGAAAATCCGATGCTGCAAAGAAAAATACTGCATAGGAACCTGGAATGTAAGATCTATGAACCTTGGTAAGTTGGATGTGGTCAAACAGGAGATGGCAAGAATAAACATTGACAACCTGGGCGTCAGTGAACTAAAATGGACGGAATGGGCAAATTCAGTTCAGACCATTACCATATCTACTACTGTGGGGAAGAATCCCACAGAAGAAATGGAATAGCCCTCATAGTCAACAAAAGAGTGGGAAAAGCTGTAATGGGATACAATCTCAAAAATGATAGAATGATTTCAATACGAATCCAAGGCAGACCTTTCAACATCACAGTAACCCAAGTTTATGCACCAACCACCAATGTGAAGGAGACTGAAACTGACCAATTTTATGAAGACTTACAACACCTTCTAGAACTGACACCAAAGATGTTCTTCTCATTCTAGGGGATTGGAATGCTAAGGTAGGGAGTCAAGAGATAAAAGGAACAACAGGAAGTTTGGCCTTGGAGTTCAAAACGAAGCAGGGCAAAGGCTAATAGAGTTTTGTGAAGAGAACAA